TGTATCCAAATGTTGGAACTTTTTATTAGTGATGAAATGGTTTTAACATAAGATCTTTTTGAAGGCTGAGCTGTTTATTTTGGTATTTAGCATTTGAATTCATTGCATTTGATGTCCTTGGAGGGAATTACCCTTATTTAAATAGTTATTTTGATCTCAATCTAGTATTATTGCTCTGTTATTTAAATTTTATTCTGTGTTTTTTTCCTATAGAAGTATGATTTATAACAAGGCAGCATAAAAGGGTTTCCAAGGACTTTTAAGAATACCCATCTCTAGTTTTCTGGCTAGTTCATGCTTTATTATTAAGCTCATGTGGTTTTTTTTGGGTTTTTTTCCTGTTTGTTTTGTTTATTTATTTTACCTTCTAAATCTTAAAAATATTATAAGGAACATTAAAGTAAAATAATTTTACATACCCTAAATGTGCTTGAGGGCCTGTGGAGTGGCTCAGTGGTAGAGTGCCTGCCTAGCAAGTGTGAGGCCCTGAGTATCAGTACCACCTAAAGAAAGAAAGAAAGAAAACCTAAATGTGCCTGAAATTCTTGTATAGTCATGTTCATTTATCAAATTTTGATAAAAATGTTATTGTTATAGAAAGTTACAGGTTCTGAGTAATTTTGTATACTTATACTCATGATCTTAAAACTTACCTAAAAGGCTGTCCACACTATATATGAAGTACTTTTTTTATCCATTAGATAGTTATTGAGCATTATTTTTTCCAAATTAAAAGACACCTTGACCTGATATACTAATTAGCCTGATTTGATCATTCCACTATGTATACATCACATTATATCCCATAAACATATCTAATTTTTTTAAGTAAAAATGAAATAAAAGTAAGAACAACAATTAAGAGAAACCCATCATGATCTCCAAAGGATTTAGTGAAGGAAGGAAGTGGGAAGGGAGAAGATAAGGATGGATATAAATGAATAAGGGAAAAATAAAAATATAAAAATGCTATAAGAAGCCTCTAGGAGGGAGTAATTAATTCTGAATAAATAACATGATATTTTATCAGAAGAGGTACATTTGAATCTACCCTTGAAGGACATGAATATATTAACAGATTAAAAAAAAGTACAAAGAAATGCAAAGGAAGTGGAACAGCATGAGTGAGAAAGATATCAGTTGCTAGTTGTGTAGTTAATATACTTGCTACTTTTGCTCATTTGATCTATTTACCCATGATGCTCAGTATTAGCTCTATCCAATGAAATTACTATTTTTGGCCACATGCTCTATTTCCCAACATCCACAGTCTTAGTTGTAAAACCATTAAAATTATTAGATTAATTTTAAATCTCTCTAAATTCATAAACCAAGTTTAAACAAAATGGATAAAAAAGGATTGGTAGAGTGGCTCAACCAGTAGAGTGCCTGCCTAGCAAGCATGAGGCCCTGAGTTCAAACCCCAGTACCGCCAAATAAATGAATAAATTAAAAGGAAGTCCTGTTTTTAAAAAAATGGATAAAAAACAACTACTGACATAACATTTCATTTTTCTAGTGGTAGAAATGATCCCAGTGGAATAATCCCATTTGCCTGATGCATGCATATTTGAGGGAAGATTACCTTTTGGGGGGCAGTACTGGAGATTGAACTCCCTTTCAGAACTTCTCTCTTGCTAGGAAGGCACTTTACAGCTTGAGCTACACCTCCACCCCTTTTTGCTTTGGTTATTTTTGAGACAGGGTCTCACTTTTTGCCCAGGCTAGCCTGGACCACGAGCCTCCTATTTATGCTTCCTGCTATCACTGGGATGAAGGTTCGTAACTCTTCACTCAGCTTTTTTCCATTGAAAAGGGGTCTCACAAACTTTTTTGCCTGGAATCATGATCCTCCTGATCTTACCCTCTTAAGTAACTATGATTACAGGCATGAACCACCAGCACCTGGCTTAAAGAAACATAGTCTAACCTTCTTGAGTGAGGAAATATTTCTGAGTAGCAGCTTGAAGAGAGAGAAGCTCATGATTGGAAGGACACAGAAATAACATCCTGGGGCTCACTCCATGGGAAAGGCATTTCTTCCCATTGGTTAGCTTATCTACCTTAGGTTTTGCTAGCTCATAGTAGCATGTGAGTTTGTGCTTTTTTTTTTTAAGGCCGAAGTATGTCTATTGACCTTTCCACATCATTGCCCTAATTTCTTGCATATATTTATATAACAGTGTTTCATAGAATGAAGTTTTGCTTCAGAAAAGGATAACTACATAATAGAGGAAAGCCATTGGCTAAGAACTCTTATGAGCTCTTCTTTGGTATAGAATGTTATGAATACCCAGTAAAACTAAGACAAACAAATAAACTCATATCCTTGTTAAAATCTATGGCTAGGGTTGAAAAGTCAAGTGACTTAGAAAAAAATCCTCAATTATTCACTTATATTTTAAAACTACATCTTAGACCAAGGCTCCTTTTTTTAAATGAAGAGTTCTTTAATTCCAACTGCTTAATGTATTTTATTTTCTCAATATAACACATTAGGCAGATTTATACTTCCTTTCCAAGTATTTAGGCATATCATTTTCTTATGTTTTCTGTACCTTCCTACTTAGTGGAAACATTGTTTGTTCCTGGAGTGTGCTTTGTCTTCCTTTTCAAGAAGATCATCAAAGTTACTAGTTTGCAGCTTCCAAAAAAGAAAGAGCTTCTAATCCCTAGTTCAGAGGCTAACCTTTATTAGTGCTTGTGGTTATAATGAGGACCCTGCTTCCAGCAGGGAGATTCTGGAATACCGAACAGATTATTCAACAAGTTCAGAGCAGATTCTGAAGTCCCTTATAAAACCTGCTTGTGAATACTGCTTTCTTTGCGTTTACTGTTTCTGGTTTCCATAGTGTTCCTAATTACATAAATCATGTGGAGCATGGGAGCTAGTTTCCATCCAGTATCAATTCTGACACTGCTTACATTGTGGCACAATTTTAATTTTTCTCCAAGTTGTACATTTTTTCTTAAATTCTTACGGAGAAAACAAACTCTGGAAAAATTAGAGCTTGTGTTAGAAAATCTAGTACTTTTTTTTGGCATCTGTCAGGTTGACATAAAGAATCAAAAGTTATTTTGTGACAAGCATAGATGAAAAGAGTGGTGGATTTGATAAAAATTTCTCAGGTTTAAATTTAAGATCAAAATGTAAATCTTTTATCAACTATTTCACAATTTATTTGACTTTATTTCAATTTAACACCTATGTAGGTAGTGCTTTTTAATGTTCAAAAGTATACTAGGGTAAATGAGTGTACCAATTAAAGGTGTATAAATTAAAATCGAATACATGGCAAAAGATGAAAGTTGTGGAAGTAAACTAAAAGTGCTGATGATTCTTAAACTTTCTTTAGGAAAAACTATAATCAAAGTTGATTTGTTTTATACATTTTTTGAAAGTTTAAAGAGTTATAATTCTGAAAATAACTTACTCTTTCAGATTTTATTTCATAGTATATGTGATCTTGTATTTTTTAAAAGCTTGAGGCACCTGCTATGATAAACTTTATAGAGAAAAGCATTTTCTCCAAGAGCATGAAAATAGGATTGATAGGTGAATTTCAGGAATTTGCTTCTCAAACTGGATGAGTAAATTTTATGCATGCATCCAAAAAGATATCTAAATAATCATTGGGTCATAATTTCCTTTTAACTTTATTATAATAGTAGAAAATCTTAAAATTCTCTCTCCAACATTCTTCTAATTGCTGAATATATTAGACTTTAAGTTGTGCTTTGGTAGAGATTGTAGGACTTGGTGCCACAAAATGCATAACTTTTTTACTAAGAGCAGAATTCAGCAGAATACCAGGAGCAAAGGCCATTTGCATAACTCACCGCTCAGCCACTCAGCTGAACCTAATTGTAATTCAGTTTCCACATTGCTATGCAGGCTTCTCTGCATGAAATATGCAACATATAACACAACCAATGGCACAGACCTATTTTCTTTGGAGGCTATCTATTCGATTCCTTTTTTCAAGTCGAAACATGTACCAGAATAAGGTAGCCAAGATATGTAAATTTTTTCTCCAGTTAAAAAAAAAAAAAAAGATATGTAACTATTTTGTATGTTTATATTTGAATCACACGTGTACATTTAAAGACCGAGTTTAAAAAGTGAAATAATTTCATCTTTCTGTGTTTTCCAAGTGTGCCTAAGATTTTATTTCTTGTTTTTTCATAGGAAAATTAAATCTTGAAAAATATTAGCTAGCTGTCATGTTGACTATTTTACACTAGAAAGACTTTATAAGCTAATCGTGTGAAAAAGTGTATAAACATGTCTGTCAAGTCCATATGGATGTTGCATTGCAAGCACACAAATAAATATCCTTTATTTGTTTACAAAGCTCGTGCTGAAATAGCATTCCTAAGTCCTTGACCAGTTTATATCCCAGGAACTTATAAACAAAAAGGTATGATAAAATGTCTACTTAAGATTCTCCCCCTTATTTTTAAACAGTCTTGCCACCCTGTTATATGGGTTATTTAAGGAATGGTTATGTAAGGACAAGCCTGGAATAGGATGGCTTATAAAGGTATGGATTATATTTTATGAATAATTTCCAGATGCGATGTTTTAGGTAGATAGATTCCTCTACAGGAAGCTATATACAGAAACAACACGGATCTTACAATTTTATCAGGACAATGCAAGTAGATTTCAGCAAGGTTGGTTCCAACTCATCTGTGATAAATGAGAAGATAAGGCAATCAGTGCACACCATGACACTCTGTGCAGCTAGTTAGACACACTTCAGAACTATTCAGGTGTGCTCACAAAGCTTATGAGTCTTGCATGGGGGGTGTCTCAATATAAATACATCCTTCATGGTGGCCACTAGTAATACAGGAATTGCCTCTCTAAGACTTAATCCAGGTCAGATATAAATAATAGATGTTAAGAGTTAGCTCTGATATTGGTGCTGTGTTCCAGGCAGTGTATTTCAGTCAGGTCAAAAGAATTTTTTCCCTTCTTTTCTTGAATAGTTCCTGTGCTTGAAAAATGCCTGCAAAATTCCATCACACCTTTGCGGGGACCACTTTGGGTCTCTAAGGGAGAAGGTTTCAGCCCCTCAGGAGCTAAGATGTACATCCAAGGAGTTCTTTTGGCCTTGTATGAACGATTAAAGTCTGCAAAAAAATAATACAAACAGGTGAGTCACCCTCTTTTAAAACTGATTTATTATATATTTTTAAAATGTACTTGGTTGTATAGAGGCAATGATTGGCATTGCGTCATAAGAGAACTGTGACATGTATTTTGTGAACTGAGTACCTGTTAGGGAGCCAAAATGCTTCTATAATCTCAAAGCCAACAATAATGGGGCTAATTGTATCTGTCTTTTGGTATGGGATGTCATATGTCTCATCTTCTCTTGCTGTATACTGTGCAAAGCAAAGGCAACTACTTATGTGGAAATTCTATAGACATTTACTTTAAATAAGAAAATTAGTAGCTCCTAATCATTTGAAGGTTTAGCCTCCTGTTTCATTTTAGGGTAAAATCAGATTACTATTGTAGAAGTTAGGTTAAAATAAAACAAATCACATTCTTGAGAAATGAAATAATGCATTAACTTCAAGTCAAGAGTAACTTATTTGATTTATGTTTATTTGACTTGTGTGTTTCAGGAGCCAAAGTATAAAAGTAGAATTAGTGTATTTAAACCAGAATAAGCTAAATTTTATCTTTTAATATCTGCAAAGACTGATATTTTAATAGCTACTTACAGGGACTTTTGATTTACCTTAAAGTAGGATTCACATTATAAAGCAGAATCATTGATACCATTTGAAAAATAAAAATGGAGTTCCAACATTTAAAAATCCTCTGCACTTAGACGTAAGTGAAGCATGCATTTTTACCATGTTAAGTAAGGACTAAGTTTTAAGCTTAGAACTGGGAGATGCCAGTTTAGGACTGGTCTCATTATCTCAGGCCACAGGCTGCTGAAAAATGAATATTTTGAAAGCATCATGCTGCTTTCTGCATACAGAGAGGAAGGGAAGGCAGTGGAATGAAATGTCAGTCTCAGTGTTCACACAGCACCTCCTTCTGTCTGGTTTGGAAAAGACTGGAAGAAAGTGTTGAACTAAGGAATCCAGAACTATCAAGAAATATTTCCTGAGAGAAACTTTTATAAGGAAAATGTGTTTGGTTTGCCCTTTAATTTATTTCAGTGGATCCAGAAATGGATTGCTAATTATCATATAGAAGTCTATTCATAATAAATATAAAAATTCATAATTAATAAAAAAATCCAAACTTTATGCTTTTTATGAAGATAGGATTTTTTAAAAACTAGTATATTTTATTATGTTTAACTTGTTTTAAGTGGAAATATTATCTAATTTTAATATATAATATTATAAAGTGGATTAATCATTTATTTGATGTTATATGGTTTGAATCCAGTTATTGGAGGATTTAAAGTTGTTTAATATTAAATAAAACAGGAGACTATTTTTCCAATGAAAGAAAGGCAAAATTTAAATCAATTCTAAAGACAAATATTTTGTAAGTTTTGTTAAAAGTGAGGATGGTCAAGATTAAAAAAAAATCTCAGAAAGTAATGGATGTTTTTCTCCTGCTAGCCTAAACATTTAAAATTTAAATAAGTATAAGCAGATTTAAAAGACTACTCGATTTAAAAGAGTTTTGCATTGTGAGAGAAGAAGAGTCTTGAGAATTACTGTTTTGATTTAAAGAATTTCTTTAGGACTCAAAATTGGCAAAAGTATATTTCATTAAATATAAATATAAACAAAATGCAACATTTTTAGTTTGCTCAAAATTGTTTGACTAACCTATGAGAATTTCAGCATTATGCAAAATATAAGAATACTTAAAAACCTAGGTGTTTTGTATTTCTACCTAAACCTTTTATTTACACTAAGTTGTAACAATTTAAAGCTTTGCAATATACTTTTGTTTAAGTTTTATTTTAAAATATAAAAATGAAGAAAAGGACTGGAAACTTTCCAATTTTGCATTTCCATGTACATTTCTGTATCTTTAGTCCTGGTCAATTATAGGTATTCTTGAGTCTCTTTTCCATGACTTAGTTGTTATACCATGGCTTAATATTAAATTATCTACAATGTTTAGAAAAGTCACAGTGATACCATTAGTAGGCCATCCCTGATTAAATGTTAAGCCTGGCATTATCTTTATTCATAAGTAGGATTTCTTACCAAATATCCCTGTTAGCATTAATGAACTTTATTTGAACTGCATTTACTTCATTTGACCTCTGGGATAGCTTTTTCTATTTAGTTTTATCTAAAATTGTGTTAAGGAATCACTAGACAGGCGAAATGCAAGTGAATAATGGTTCCTATTTCCTTTATAGATCTAAGTTTATCAATTATAGGATTATATTAACTCTTCATATCATTTCCATTTATTCTATTTCTGATACCCTATATAAAAACCATGTGCTTTTACTCTTTGGCAAATGATTATAGACTTTCAATTTTGACATTCCCAAAGGAAATGTCTTTTAAAGAAATTGTGATAATATAGCTTTAAAAGAAAAGCCAGGGCTACTGGTTTTTATGTTTACGAATTTACTCATTTTTAATTTTTAACTTTAGCTTGGCTGTTATACCATGCAACTGAATTAAGCACACTACATTAGGATGGTCTTAAATATATACTGATTCGTGTGTGTTAAAATGAGATATTATATTTAAGACAGCATAAAGTCACTTAGTCTTACATTTATCACATTTATTTCCTTAAAAGTGGAAACATCTTAGAAATTGCTCAGAGCTAAGCAGAATCTATTTAATTGGTAATCTTTGAAATAGCATAAACGCTTCCTATGAAATGTGTTTAACACTTTCAGAGACAGGGTCTGTTCCGTCTCATTAGCATTCTTGTTATGTAGTGGTGCTATTGGTGGGGGTGTTGAAGTAGGAATGCCATTGTGTGGAGTTCCAGTGTTTGGGGACAAACACTGCTGTGGAAGGAACGTGTGAAAAGGCCGCAGTCCTGTCAGTGAATGAGGAAGGCTGTGCTTTCTGTGTGCTTCAAGCAGGGAAGCTGTCATTCATAGGCCTAACACAGCCAAGCAGAGGCCAAAACACAAGCCTGCACTACCTTTTAAAATGATATTAGTGATTTTTGAACATAATCTTCTTTATTTATGATCCTACGTAGAGCTTTTAGTCGCTGTCAGTAAACAAAATATGTCAGTCTGTTCAGAAATACTGTAAAGATGAGTAAAAGTCCATGGAACTGGGCCAGGCAGCTATATAAATCACTATTTGGAATGGCTGTTGGGCAGTGTTGAGTACAAATGTGATTTGGGGAAACTTTCATTTCTGGAAATTTCTTCCCAATTTGGATACTTTGAATTTCAACCCCCGCTCCAACCAACAAAATTGTTAAGAGATTTTTAGGTAATGAATGCTTAGCACTTTTTTCCTTTTTTAAAGAATACAATTTTTGAACAAGCTCATAAACTTCAATTTTAATCATTTAAAGCTATTCTCAGTATAGCTTAATTGTTATAGATTATATAGTCATTTTTTTTAACTCAGAAAGAAAGAAAGGAAACGAATATCTAACTATAACGTCTTCATAAGCACCATCTTAATTATGAAGAGTCATAGTCTCTGCACTGTTTAAGATGGAAAAAATGCATTTACCATGAAATTAAGAAATTTGGAGGTTTTAAATAATATTCCTAATTTTTAGCACTTTGGAAAGGAATGATCAAGTTGCAGATTAAATTTTATTTGTTTAGTTATTTTAAACAAAATAACTAAACAAAAGTATCCAGAAGTACTTTTTAAGATTTTGAGGCATTTTCTAAATTTTAGCAGTACATCGAAAAACACTAGCAATTTCTATTTACATCTGAAGCTTCAGAGCAATGTTTTATTTCTTTAATTTCATTTTGAAATGTCTACTTGGGATGATTATTAATAAATTGTTACTTAATAGAGTTTTCTAAGAACTACGTAATTTTTGGCTTGAGTGATTAAAATTTTTTTGTGTGCACATGTGGTCTTTATTAATTTAAGCAAAGTAACTTTTTTGAATGCTGTCCTATGCTATTTCTGAGTTCCATATTTGATGCCTTGAGTTTAGAAACCTAGATACTGGATTTCTGCTTAAAAAATTAGGCTTTATTATTTAAATTGTAGACATATTTTAGATTTATTTTGTAGGCATATTGTTAAATAAGGAAATAGACGTTTAACTTCAGTATTTTTTTTTAGTTTAAAATTAAAACTTATTTTATTAATATGCTAAACTAAGCTCTCCCAAAGCACTTAGATTTTGTTTAAAAAATTGTATAAACTAATGTTGCCTCACTTAAACCCACACTCTCAGTAAGTTTGATGATTATATATCAAATAATAATATAATTATAGTCAAGTTGATTCTGACTATAATTATATTATTATTTGATATATAATCTTGACTGACATTTAGTTTTGGCAGAATTTATTCATTGCAAAAAAGTATTTTTAAAGGTTTCTTAGTATTTTATCTTCATATAAGACTTTTCAGATCTTGTGTAGGTCAATCAAAATCACTTTTTAGTTATAGTATTATTGGAAGACTATTTTGCTTTCTTTTTCTATACTGTATATATAATAAAAATTGAGCTATTTCCTTGAGTTGGCCTTTTTTGGGGCAATATTTAAAATATTTCAATTTTGAACAAATTTCTTAATGTTCTTTGAAACCTTTGAATAAAATATCTAATATATAAATATAAGTTGCTGTTAAAAGCATGAATGTAGAGTGGCAGTCATTTCAAAAAGAAAACTACTTCTGAAGGTTCTGATAAGTTTCTTTTAACATATTAGATTATTTATAGATTTCAGTGATTGTTGATTTTTTTTCTCCTGAAACCAAGCTGCATTCTAGTTACTTGAAGTATTTTAAGAACCTTAAACTTGTGTCTTTTTCTAAGTGTCATGCTTTGAGCAGGCCTAACATCAGTTAAATGAAGTGAAAATTGCATTCTTGTCTTGATAGAGATGAAAATGGATTTCTGGTCATGAAATAGATGTAGTTGTCACTTTTTAAAAAAGGTGTCAGCAGTTTGCTTCAGCGAGTAAGGTGCCAATTCAGTATGGCAGTAAACTTGTGATCTGAGCAATCAATAAAATGCTTCAATAACTTCTGCTT